ACATATTGCAGGAGTCAGAGGAATTGTTTTGCCATCTATCTGCCATTTTTCCTACAGTTATTGATTGATGATACACAATGGCAGTGTCTGAACGTCCATCCTAACCCCTAAATCCCTCAATCACTATATAGAGGTGGGACTATATAGTGGACTTTATAGTGAACTCAGTTAACTGACCGTTTGGCCAGATGCTCACTACTTTTCGACTCCCCATTGATCATGTAACTCTGCCTCCCAACACCATGCTTGCGCCATTTTATTTGAGCTCTCCTCGCAAAGCTTTCTGGGATATATCTGCTTGTCTGACCATGATGATCGCTACTTTTTAAGGTGTATTGTCGGAAATTTCACGTCCACTACTCTTTCATTCGCTAGACACTCGGACACTCATCTAAAATGGCGTGATCACTATATAGTGCCCTATATAGTGATTAAGTGATATAGTGATCATCTAAAATGGCATAATCACTATATAGTGCCCTATATAATGATTAAGGCAAAAATTCAGAGACAGTCTATCTCTCTGATTTACTTAAATGTACGGAAATGTTCTTCCTGTAGTTGGGGCAATTGCAACCCTCAGTGATAGAAAGCATTTACTGTACAGGAGCAACCAGACATTCTGAGATGTCAATCATGTTAAGCACTAGGATGGGTCAATCAGATTTCAGAGGGGTCAAGGCCCCCTGCAGCCCTCCTCTAACTCCACCTCTAGTTCCAAGCTGCTTATTTGCAAAGCAATTAACCCCTTTCAACTGTATTCCTACTTATGTTAATTCAACAGATAACAACTGGAACTCTTACCGGCCGGTTATACTCCCGCAGCAGTGTGTCACAGTGAGCTTGGCGCAGATATTTCTGATTTATGCCCAATATTGAAGTGTGGTCTGCGCTGTGTTATTCCAAGCTATAATGCAAGAGGGACAATCATGAACTAGCTGTGGGTCTAGACACGGCCGAGGCACTGAGTTTGTGCGACAACGGAGAGACATGAGGGCAAAAAACAGCGGGGATCCATGTGGGAAAAGGGTCCCAAAGTTCTTGGACACCTTGCTCTTCTAGCTGGTCCATAATCACAAGTCGTTTTCCACAATGGTGGTCACACAAACAAAACAAGCCGGTAAGGTACCAAACAGGAAATGGGCACAGTGTAGAGCGGATGTTGATTTGATCGATCAGAGGCCTCCTTTCTGGGGTCACCTACAATTTTGGAGAGGTGTAGCAGAGTGTCTGCGGCAGGGGCGGGAGGTACATTTGCATTCACTGCAACACACACGCAGACCACCTAATTTCTGAGTATAAATCAGCCTTAAAAGGAGGTTGTGCTTTTGCTTTTGATGGGCTCCATAGCAACCTATTTGACTGTATCCAGCTGAACAGGCTGGTGTTACTGGTAGCTAAAATTATTTCATACAAATGATAAAATAGTTGCTCAACTGCATGAATCAGATCTTAAAAAACAGAGAACAACCTAAAACCATTAAAACCAAACAATATCCTAGCAAACAATTTGTCACTAAGACTTATGGGGTCTCAGATATTACACAATTTGCCATATATATCAGCATCCTAGTTTAGGGATGCTAAGGGTGTATAATAAAAAAAAAGAAAAAGAGAAACAAATTTTAAAGTACCGTACTTTAAATATACATTGTGGTTTAATGTTCTTGCACACCTTCAGTAGTTTTAGGGGGGGCTTTAAGAGTCCGCTTTCCTTTTAAATTACAGTTTATATTGAAATTCAAATCATTGCCTTTCACATAATTACAGCAATATCTTTCTTGGTTTAAATCAGGGGATTTGCTTTTATTCAAAGTTTATTTTATGTTTATTCTATTAAAAGCAATTTTATTGATTTAAAAGATACAAAGGAGCAGGATAACAAAAGGGGTCAGAAATGTTTTCTGACCGTTTCTGTGTTTTAACAGATTTTCTCCCTAGCTTTTGCTGGTACAGACTGCTTTAAAAGTACTGCCTTGTGCTCATGAATACAATAACTATTAACCAGTATGTGAGGAATGTCTGGACTGTACGTGCTGTTTGTTTATATGTATAAAGAGGGCAATCAATAAGCCCCCTTCCAAGTCAGTGAGTAGAATGAAAAACAATAAATAACTGATGCACATGCCCTGCTTCCACTTAGAGTGTACGTGGAGGATGTGCACATAAAAAAAAGGCACAAAACTAGGTCTGCATGCTTTTTGAATAGGCTCCATCACCATAGAGATACTGCATACTATATGAGTTTGGTTTAAGAAACAAAAATAAAAAAATAACCATCACGATTATGTTGATGTATAAAAATCGTGAGTGTGCATCCATTTGGGTGCTCCAGTGTTCCACTTGAACACAGACAAAGGGTCAGGGATTAGTGCTAGTTGTGAAATAAAAAGGCTGTTTGTTTGCTTGGGTTAGCAGGAATCAGCGTATTTGTTTCTAGTCATCTAGTCTTGTTTCTAAGCACTTCGTTTTGTGTGAACGGCTCAGCATGTTAACGTCAGTATGTGACAAAAAAGAAAAAAAGAGGTCAAATATAATAACATTGAGCCTCTTTGTTATCAACAACCTCAAGTGGTGATGCAACAAGCTCCCCTGCCTCTGCAGAAATGATTAGCTATTGAAGCACATTGTAGGTTGTATAAATGTGAAATGTTTAAATAGATATACCGTACGTTAAATATTGTGTTGTGAAGCATGAAAGTCCTTTAACAATCTTCAGCATCCAGTTTTTTGTTGAACCCCAAGTTAAAAGCACAACAGAATAATAAACAGTTCACTCTGCAGGACTTGTAGATCTTTTCTCTAGGCTGAGCTCAACATTGTATGCTCATTCTTGAGAAATCCCTCCAGACTCCTGTCTTTTATTATGTAAATGACTCTCTCTGCTGAATTCCTTTCTGTAAGCAAAAGATAGACCGGGGTTCTTGTGCATTAATTAAACAGTCATTACGAACATAGCTTTATGGGTTTTCCTGGTATAATGACATTCCTGTGCTCCACATAAAGACAAAAACAGCACAAACAAATTAAATTATCAGCAGACGATCAAAAGAATGCTTACGCTGATTTCCCTTCACCGTCCAGCTTAGCAGCATTGGCACCTTTTTTAGTAAGAAGGGACACCAGTTTGTCCACCTCGCCATGTTCCACAGCAGCAAGGAGGCGCTCGTCGTTTTTGTTCCACTCGTTGGCCTACAGGAACATTTCAGAGAATCAGGATTAGCAACCAGAAGGAAAAATAAAAATATGCCAATCACAAAGATGTGATATACCCCCCCAAACTGTAATAGAAGCATAGTTGATTATGTTTGAGTGAGCACAGAGTGACTTTGGGTCATTTCTGATTATCATTGAAATTAAAAGAATCAAAGCAATTTGCACAAACACTACATATGTCAAACAGTAATAATGCAACAAAAAAAAAAGAAAAAATCACCCCAATGTTTATCTTACGCATCATTTAGTCCCCACATTGTTCTTTATTGTGTTTAAAACAGTAGAATTTCAAAATACAGGTGTTTCCATCAATGCTTCCTTTATGCACGCTTTAAAGTATCACCTTAGAAGATGTCAATGGAAGTAGCAACATTTTAAAAACTTTTAAAAACTTTTAAAAAGTTTTAACGCTCGCTTGACATACACATATACGTACATACCTACATACATACACATATACATTAATATATACACATATAATAGCTTAAACAAATTAATTAACATATGATGCACTTTGCAACACCAAAGCCCAACTATGTTTGTTTCAGCACATGCTTATCCACTCTGGCAGCTGGTTTCAGAAGTAGTTGGTTTGTTTGTCATGATGGGACCCCTAACAGACAAAGAAGCTAGTCGTATCCACTCCAGACAAAGCAGGATTGGGCCTCAGAGAGAACAAATGTCACTTCCCTCTGCTATGGCATGCAAACACACAGACACGCAATATTTGTTTTAATAATTGGTTGAGCAAACACATAGACAGGATCCAAGAAAAATATGCACAGAACGACAACATACACAAACCAAACGGCCACATATTTACAGCACTGTTAGACCAAGAATACTGAGAACATCTATTGGAAGCTTTAAAGATGATTTGATTGAGATCTAATACTAAATACATGCAGATTTAATGACATTAAAAATTGCAGAGTAAGTTTATGAGCAGACCACCACAATGAATCAAGTATGATTTGGCAAGGCAACAAAAAGTACATTAAAATATTAACAAAACAAAGCAGATAGAAGAGAAAATGCAACTGAAATACTTTATGAGGGCTGGTAAAAGAAAACTGAACTCTTGGCCCGCACGCAGCTGGCAACACATGATCATTAGTCAGCTCTCCCTGCAGCCACCTGTGCGCATTAGTCTGCAGTCCAGCATTAGTCTGCAGTCCAGCATTAGTCTGCAGTCCAGCATTAGTCTGCGGTCCAGTATTAGTATCTGACCTGATAACCTATTGACCTACACGTGGAAGGCAGTGGAGCTCTGGCTCCATTAATGCATATGGTATGACATTCAAGCTTATTTTAGAAAGAGCAATATGCCAAGTTATCACTACAGGGTGTAAATAGCCTTTAGGGCAAGCACCCAAGTGCTATCACTGCAGTACATTTTGTATAGCTGGTGGAAAATGCAGGACTATAATAATCCCCCCAATCACTGGAACAGCTGAAGTAACCACTGAACTCTGTTGTCTAAGACTAAATAAAAATGATATGTGAAAATCTTTAAAAGAATATCACACTGAACATTTTACAGAAAACAAAAATATATTTTGATCAGAACTATGCTGTAAATCCCCACTGTCAAGTAAAGAGGAGGATCTATGATGCTGTTAACTGTTGTGGAGAACTTCTTTTATAAGAAAGGATAGAAAGACTCATTCTCATAATTAGTCACTAAGACTTTAGTACAAAATTCCCTTATTAGCCAACTATTAGGAAAAATATTTCCCAAAATATTTCCTTACACAATGGAATTTCCTTTTACAAGTTATCACATTTGTTGATACTCTGACAAATGCAGGAGACAGAGATAGGTGATTGTTAAGTATTAACTAGGTACCAAATAGCTTATTTACCTCAACAGCTATTGTTAGTGCTACACTTGTAAGACTGCATGGTATAACTAACTTCTTTTGGTTAAAATAAAACTGAAATGATTCACTAAATATAATCATAATGCTCTTCAGTGGCAAATTATATAAAAGGCAAAGGTTAAAGATCTCCCTTTGTAAGCTCTAAACTTGTCAAATTACATAGTAAAAAAAGCTTCCCTGAATGCAAAAGGGAAATATAAAATGTTAACAGCAGAGTTGTGAAGAATTGTGTCATCAATAGATTGAAACGATTTCCGATTTGTTCAGTTAACCTAAAAAGCAACATACATCATACAAAAATACACGATTCACCACTCTTTGATACATTGCCTTTTATGGACAGTTGGACTATTTTCAAACAAAAACACAACTTAAACAGAAAAAAGGGATTCTTTAAAATATAAAATAAAGAATCATCCATCAGAAAAATTGGTAAGCTATGAAGCAGAACACAGTAGGAGAACGTTTTTAAAGAAAACATCCCATGTGGTGTAAAGGTTCAGATTTCTTGTTTTCATAAAACCAGAATGAATTTCCCTCTCAGTCTGTCTACAAGTCCCATGATTTTTTCTAGTCATGTGTTTTTCATTTACTGCATGAGGCATGCTTCATTAAAACTACAGAAAGTCCTATAAGAATAAAGAACATGAAAAGAAATAAGCACATTTAAAGATATCCTCTGGGACAAAAACAAAGAAACATCAAAGGAGCTCTGTTTACATTATTCATTTGCTCTAATTGAAAAATATGCAATTGTTGAGCAGAGGACAACGCTTCCCTTATCTTGTGTTTTTGGATACCAGGAAGGGCAGATCAGTCGGCTATAATTGAGTGCCTTGAACATCAGGAAATGGTGACAAGAAAAACACCCTCAAATAAACAATGGACTGATTTACAAAGCAGGTTATGAACTGTTAATATGTACAGCTTCTTTACTGAAGTTCTATAACATCCTTTGCCATAACCTAACTGGTTCTGTACCTTGTACGGCTCCCAACAATAAACAGTCCTGAAATCCTTTGATATTGCATCTGATCCTGTAAAGTTTACACAAGCCTGTCAGGAATAAATCAATCTTAATCTTCTCATTTCCCTCAAAGTATACTTTACTTTGCCTGTATATGTAAAGCTCCCAGACAGAGAGGGGACTTGTCAAGTTGCCTTTAATCAGTTCATGGTGAGACTTCAGCTTCCAGGGAAGAAGGAGGGGGTCAGCCTATTGAATTCAAATTCATGTGAAAAATATCATTTACATTTAATACATTGAAATGGGATTAAATAAGGACATAATTGGTTTTCGTTATTATCCAAGTGTCTTAAAAAAAATATCTGAAATGGAATGATAATACTCAGAACGGTTTATTTGTAGAGTCAGCCACTCAAAATCGAAATGAAGACAAATAGCATTACTATGCTGAAAATATTTCTCCATAAAGAAGGAACAACGCTCCTGGTCTCAAGTACTTCAGTAGAGATTTTCTTACACGTTCTCTTCTAGATTATTTCTTTTAGGTATTTTCTTACTTTTTTTTTTTTGTTTTTTGTTTTTTTAAGGTGATGAGATAGAATATTTGTATTACATTTGTGACCTCTAAAATGCCAAGGCTTTCAAAGTAAACACAGGAAAAAAAATGGTAAAATTAAAAGACACAGTGATATTGGAGAGTCAGGGCAGCTCAGCGTGACATTGACATCACTCGGCCACATTGCAGTTGACAAGTTTAAGTGGAGCGGAATGCACTGCTCCACTTTCGGCCACATACAGAATAAAAATCATCTCTGGGGCAGAAAAAAAGAAAAGAAAAAAAAAATCATATACTGGAAAAACAACCAGCAGAACTCTTAAAAACAGGGTTGAACTATGTCATCCATATTGTCATCAAGAAGAAATATTGCAAACTCATTTTCTTTTTACTTTCAAAAGAAAAAATCTGTATTTCAAAAACCATATAGAAGACTTAATTACTAGTAAAATAGTAATATACAACCCATTATTACCCACAAATCCTAAGAAGCTGATGTTAATACCAGGGTTTACCAACAGGAAGTAAAACTCCCGTAACTTTGCTGCTGTCAGTCCTTTTTCCTCTCGCCCAGTCCACCCTCCATGCCTCTACATCAGTCTTTTTTACTTTTTGTCCTGCAGTGAGTGTTTACATTGGAATCGGGTGTGTGTTCCCTTTCTGTCCTTAGCCTAACACTCATTAGGACACACAAAGAGTGAGCCGATAACACTAAGTGTTTCCTGTTTGCCAAGGCCTAAGGGGTGTCTGCGAGGACAAGCAACATAGAGCCACTGAGTAGAAGGAGTGAAGAGGCGGTTTAAGAGTTTGGAAAGACATGCCGAAAGAAAACAGATAGTGGAGAGGTTTAAATTCTAATGTTTACTGTTTGTTTATTTCTTTTAAACCATCTGCTTTCTTGTTTGCACTGACCCTTTAACTAAAAGGTTAACAGCTCTTGAGAGATAAATATAATTGTGAAGTAGAAGAAAAACACACACTTTGCTTACTTTTGCAAGTAGAAATATGAGACGTGTGGCGTCCATTTGTAATCTCACAAATGATTAATCGCAATGCAACTAATTGCATTTAAAAACCCAACCTATCGGTAACTTAATATCAACTTTGCATTGTTTTAAGCTGATGGGACTCTGATGAAGAACAAGGAACACAGAACACAAATCAGGGGATTTAAAGCAAGGGTTAGGCCATAAAGTAAATTCCAAAGCTGTAAACACCTCGGGGTACAATGTCCGAACTATCACCTGAGAGTGAAAAGAGTATAGCTAGCTTAACATGACATGGTCATTCATCTAAACTGATAGGCAAGAGCAATGACAGTGTTTAGTGTACTAATATATATATATATATATATATATATATATATATATATATATATATATATATATATATATATATTTATTAGGGATGGAACCGTTCGGTTTGACTGTCTTGGTTCGATTCGCGTGTATTGCGTTCGGTTCATGCGCTGCTCCTTTTTCTCATAGGCGAAGCGTGTACACTCCAGAGCCAGAGCAGAAGGTGGCGGTACTGCGACCAAAGCCAACCATCAGTAGTAAACAAGAAGCAG